AATTATCTTGCTTATAAATTAGATCGTTTACATGGATTTTATTGTATTAAAACAAATTCTAATGATACAATTATTGTACCTGTTGAAATCAATGTTTCAAATCATTTAAAACTTTATTCAAATGTTGATCAATTAGAATTTAGTCCTGATGGTTTAATACGATCAACAGCTAAACCAGTAACTATACCAGTGTATGTTATTAATAATGGATTAATTCCGGTGACTATTGATGTAAGTTTATTAGTAATTTATAGTAAAACAAAAAAATTTTATTTCTTCGAAATACAAGAAAAATATTGACTTTTTCTACATTGTTTAAACGACAAGCTCTGATATTTTCTAAGTAATTTACACTTCATATTAAAGCAGTGAAGATTAAGCAGAAAGTTTTTTGTTTTGTTACATATGTTTATCGTTCAAGAAAAATAACATTTACAAATTCTAATGAATGTGAATGATTATAAAAACTTTAACCTCTAACTTACAAAGTACACTTTACAAGAATGACTTGACTTTAATCGTTTTCTAAGTTTAACTAAGCATGATGATTCCTTCTTTTTAGATTACGAGAACGTTGTACTAGAAGGTTTTTAGTCTTAATATTTCTGCATACTTGACTTACACACTTGAAAGAAGTTCATGTTTTAGTAAGTATTTTTATTAGTAATATGATGGCTGTACAAATGAAAAAACTTATTTACAGAACTAATGATTTCTGTTCATCGTCATAGAACATTGCTAAAAAGAAACCAATAGTGTTAGTTGTTTTTATGCTTATGTCTACTAAATATTTTGAGATGTCACGACACAAGTCAAGAAAATAATACAGAGTACTCATAGCCCTCATGTCATGTTTTCTATAGAATAAGTGAATTGTGATAATTTATCATTAATTTGAAACATTACCTTTCAAAGATGTCTGTAACGGATGGACTGAACGTTTTAAGAAAAAATATTTGTTTATTTTTGATTACCTAGAAAATATTTCTGATGAATAAAGCCCATCGGATTCGAAATTTTTGGACTCGGACCTGACGAATTCTATTGATGAATCAAAAGCCATGGGTTATGGCCAAAACATAGTGTTCTTTTCGAATGTATGCTTAGAAATTTTCTTGAGATCAATGAAATAATTGTTTGAATAGTTTGTATATTTTATTGTCAATGAAAATTTTCTTTTAGAATGTTCGAGTTACAGCGGCAAATATTAATTATGTAACAGTTCATTATGAAAAAGTTCAAATTCCTACTGGTATTCATCAGTTAACTAAAATAGCTGATTTAACTATTAATCCATATTCGATACCTAAAGAGATTACACGTATTCGTGGTTCAGTTGAAATATATCCATTATCATCTTATACTGACGAACCTATATTACGAATTCCATTTCGTGCAACAATTTTACATGGTTCACTTGATTATGATAGAGAAGCAACTTATTTTTACATTCCATCATCTTCAATTGATTCATCAAATGATAAAAAAGAAGAATGTAGACAAATTAAATTAGTGAATCGATTTAATACAACAATGGTTATATATAATGTAACAGTGGATAAAATGGATCAACTTTCACAATATATGAATGTAAATAAATTCATATCAAAAACACTTTTTTTTTGTCTTTCTATTATGTCTTAATTTATTTTTTCTTT